CGTAAGACCGGCCTGCGACCGGACATAGTTCTCCACTCTGCGCAAAAACGGCAGCTCATCCTGATTGAGTTGACTGTCCCGTTTGAGTCGCGTATGGAGGAGAATCACTTGTATAAGCTCGAGAAATACAGTGATTTAGCAGCCGGTCTGAGGAGAAACCAGGCGTACACGGTACGGGTCTTTGCCGTCGAAGTGGGAGCGAGAGGCCTCGTTTCCACTTCGCTCTACAATGTGGTTAAAGAACTAGGATTGCGCGGTAATGAACGGAAACGAACACTCAAAAAACTGGGAGAGGCAGCCGAAAGGGCCTCTAGCTGGCTTTGGACGCAACGCAACAACGTAGGGGACGGGCCTCGGTGAGCTGGTCCGGGTGTCTAGTGGAAAAAGGTTTCTCACCCTTTGAAAGTCCATCGTGTCCGAATTGTCTGCCAGTGATCCTCTGCCACCTGCTAATAAAAGTCCAACATGTGTCCGGTAAACCAATCGTAAGCTTGTCGCTCGGTCGTCCAGGCACGCTGACTGCTTTAATTAGGCTGCCGCGGCGATTTCTTATCTCACAGTACCTTCTGCAAACCACCAAGTCGTCTTGTCTCTGGCCGAAAGTAAAACACCATCCGGTAATCCCGTGCAGCAGGGAACCAGCCCTGAGCTTCATGAACTCAGGAGGGCCCACCTCCGAATGCGTCTAGGAATCGTGGGCCGAAACGCGTGTCGACGAGGATAATTTCTACTGATGACTGGTAGATCCCTGCTGTACTTGCTCCCTGTGAGTTTATTCCTATAATGGGAATGAGGAGGACACCGGATTATCTGCGTTCGGGTCACTCTTTAGCCGCCCTATCCCTGCCCTGACAGCCTCGTCTCCTTACATGTACCCCACCTCCAATGGTATTGGTAACCCTGGCAGCCTCATCTCTTTACGAGTGCCCCACCTTCAATGGTATGGGTAATTCTAACAGCTTTATCACTTTACATGCGCCCTAACCTCCAGTGGTATTGGTAACCTGGACTGCCTCATCACATTTGATGTGCTCCCACCTCCCATGGTATGTGTGAACCTGGCAACCTCATCACTTTAGATGACTGAGTATTGTTCTTTATCATACGATTTCCTAAAATGTCAGTCATGATATACCGAAGGTTAAAGCTGCAGACTGTGGCACAATCACTAAGCAATTACAGGTCACCCGAGGATACCCGGAGTGTCTGGTTATTTACAAATAAAACGCTTCCATCCCACTCCAATTACTGATAACCAACCTTCCTGGAATGGTTGAATGGCAGCTGATGAGGGTAGAGTCTCAAGCAAGAGTCAAGTCTCATAACTCCTTTAGTAGTAGAGGGGGTTCACGGTGCGTATAGAGGAAAAAACGAAATCCACCTCCCGAGCGTGGGTGGAAGTCAATTGTGGTTCAGTGGTATGAGCTCAGTTGCTGCTCGGGTCCCCCGTGTGGGTTTCGGAGCCCCATTGTAGGGGAACACAAGAATAGACCCACTGCCTCCCCAAAAGCATGTCATAAGCGTCGACTAATAAGGGAGCTTCCTTTGAAGTCAGAGTGCATCTGCCGGAGCGGCAAGGAACCAACAGTCTGTATTCAAGAGAATGAGATCTGTAAAACTGATGCACACGCAACACTCAGGTTCTGGAGCAGGACTGCAGTTCAGTAGTGGACGAGCAACCAGAACTTTCCGCCAGAGTGTACAGCTGGTGAACGCGAAGAAAAAGAAGAAGCTGCTCGGGTGAGACTCGGATAATCTGACTTGTGGTCAAGGGTCAGCTGCTGCTAAGGAGTGGTTGTGGCTATGTGTCGGTGATTAGTGGGACAGGCGGAGGAGGCGGGTGGGTTGTTTTAGGGGTTGTAAAACAGGATAAGAAAACTGATTACCTTAGTGGCGGGGGATCGAAAGTACAAATGTTATATAGCATGAATGTATTATAGAGCAATATAACACTAGACATACACAAGTTATATAGCAGAATAGAGGAAAAGAGGGGTATTGATTGGCTTCGTGGAGGGTAGAAAGTATGTAGGTTATATAGCAAAATATGTAAAACTGACTATGGAAGCGGGTGTCAGCTAGGTCTCGAGTGGTTGTTTGTGGTCAAACAGCAGAAGTATCGTCATCAAGTGCAATGCCAACAGGCGAGGGCGATTGTGTCTCTCCAGAGTCTGGTATTGGTTATTAGCTGATGAGCTATGGTTATGTTAGAATTAGACTAGGTGGCGATAGACGGTTATCTATAAGCATGCCTTGGGGAAGGGTATATAGTGCTATGATTTTTTATAGAGAAAAAAAAGGGCGTGTGACGAATCATAGTGTTAGGTGCCAGTGAATCACTGAGGGGTCAAGCTGTTGTGTTTAGCTAGTTATATGAGGCGTTTTAGGAGCCACCTGGGTCTCCTGGGTGTATGGTGCTATGATTTTAAATAAAGTAAAAAAAAAAAAACTGTTGGTCTAATGGCTGGTGTCGTATCATAGTGTTAGGTTCCAGAGGCTCAGAGAGGGTTTAAGTTATAATAACAATGAAAACGTATGGCAAAATCTCGGGTGTTGTTTCATAGTGCTAGGTGCAGACGGCTTAGTGAGAGTTTAAATTGTAGTGTCAGTTATTTACATTAGGAGTTTTATAGGTCATTGAAGTCATCTGGGCCTCCTGGGCATATGGTGCTATGACTTTATAAAGAGGGGAAAAGGCAAAATTATGACAAAGGGAATGTGTCATAGTGCAATATTAGGTACCGGTTGCTTAGGGAGGGGATCAAGTTGTTGTTTCGGCAGATTTAGGGGTCATCGAGGGTTCAAGAATATGGTAATATGACTTCATACAGAAAAGACAATTTAAATTTGTGTGTGAGGTAAAGTGAGGGTGGCGTATCGCGATGTTAGATGTCGACGGCTTGGTCAAGTTGTCATTCGGCTACTTATATGAGAGGGTTAAGGAGACACATATAGGTTACGTCATATGGTGCTATGAATTATTCAGAGAAGAAAGGAAAACTTCCAAACAGAAGACAAACAGCTGCACTTTCAGAAATGTTTTAATGGCTCTCACATGTGAAGAGGGTGATGACTTTCAGCTTTGTGTGCTACTCAGAAAGCATGTTAAGAAAGGTGAGGACATGCATGCTTCGTGTAGAGTGGCATGCTTTGCTTCGAAGGTCATGGATGAAAAGCATTGTCTAGATCTTTCTCCAGTGCATGTCAGTGTGTTAGGACAGGAACAAGCAGACAGTCTGGCTGGCCCTGTACAACTTGGTGGAATGCTGATGCATGATAAGGCAGACGTTGTCAATGCAATACGGGAGCAGGTGTACAATTCGGAGCATTAAATATATCATCACAGTCTGTGAGAGTGATGCAGCGAGAAATGAGGCGGGGACTTGGCTTTAAGTGGCTGCTCAGAAGAAAAGCAAGACGGTCTTATAATTAGACTGATGCATGATAAGGCAGACGTGATCAAGGCCTTACGAGCGCACGTGTACAATTCTTAGCAGCAAATGGATCATCACAGTCTTTGAGAGTGACGCAGCGAAGAGTGATGAGAGGATCTGACCCATACTGAACGTTCAGAGCAAAAGCAATACGGACTGCTGCTGGAACTCTGCGCTGGCTGTTGAAGATGGGAACGGGCCGCTTATGAGAATGCTGTCAATGCTGTTATATCAGTTCTTGAATCAATTACACTCAACTCAGTTTTGTGATCTGACAGGTTCTGGTACTATAAAAAGGCCACAATAGTAAGAGAAAACAATCGATCTGCAGTCAAGATTGAGATGATTTTTTTAGATTTAAATCTTAGAATGATTTGGTAAATCTTAAAGTAAGGGTTCGGAGAAAGTAAATTGTCCAAACAGAAAACATACACATTTATATAAACACTGTGTAGGGATTCTTTCAACAAGGACGTACCTAACATACGGTCAGCCAACACAGGACCTACTCAGAAGAAGGTTATTTAGAACTACAGAATGTACACACATGCATAACCTAGTGGATTAAAGAAATGTTCATGTACCTTTGTGTTGAGAGTGTGTGCGATGTTAACTGAGGAATAAATATGTCTTCTGTCTTCAACGTAAAAGTGATAACGTCCATGCATAACAAATAAAAAAGATGAATATGTATAAGAAGTACAGGTGTTTAGACACATTGATAAAATACTGTTTAAAAAAAAATCAAGAAACAAAACGAACACCCTGATGGTTTTCTCAGGTTCCAAAATGGAAACGACAGAAATAAACCTTTCTCGTACACTCTTTCTTCCGGTCATCTGCCTGCCGATAATATTGTCACCCACTGCTGGATTGACTTATAAGCTAAATAAGCTATATAATTTTTTTTATTTTACAAATTTTATTGTAATATATTTTAATATTGTCAGCACTTAGTTTCGTGTGTATAGAAAACTACATATAAATATAGTTAAGAAATAGCCTCTCGGGAAGTCACAATAAACCAGACCAAAGTCGTCTCAACTCTCTTCTCAACAGAAAGCAACATACAACAATTTTTCGTCTACGAACAGGACACTGCAGCAAGAGCAACGTGTAGAGAGCAAGCTATGGGGATCCATGAAGAACCTGCTGCTGACATGCGAGTTCATAGAGGCAACCAACCTGATGGTCTGATCTGAGCATACGAAACCGAACACAAAGAAGAAGAAGGAGACTTTTCCTAAAATATTTAAATCCGTTATTGTTCATACATTTCTCAACGGACTATAGAAGGCAATTTGCAAACCACGAACTATAACAAAATAGGTGGAAAATAACAATGACGTACTGGCACTGCCAAAATTTAGATTTCCACGGGCAAGATAGAATCAGTCTAAATGAGATGTGCTCACAAATAATAAAACCTTCATGACATCACGCTTTGAGTGCCGATTGGTCTAAAAATGTGGCGTAAAACAGGTCATTTACTTTTAATACTTACCTGTTGATGTATTTCATATATTATGTCCATACTTTTCTAGGCCACTTACGACGTCTGTCGCCATGGGAGACCTCAAAGGACACATTTTGCCAGGAATTGTTTTATTGCTGTACGGACTGTGGTGGGCAGTGGGCTGCATCAGGCGCTACTTACTGTGTCGTAAAACAGGTCAACAGTATGTGTCAACTGTCACCTTCAATTGCCCTTTCCCATGCAGAAACATCGAAACATGGCCAGTGGAAAGTGTGGCCAAAATTGTTGTATTTTCCCTTGAGATTTTGGGGGAGATCTTTTTTAATATTTCACATCTCAAACTTCACAATGGTGAGTGTTCTTTATTTTTCATGTATTCTTTCTCATGTTCATCTCTTTCTTCTTCTGCCCCCCCCCCCCCCCCCCCCCCCCCCCCCCCCCCCCCGGTGAGGCAAAGGATCGGGATATTCCGACTGATCTGTAAAAATATGGGTGCACTTCTCAAATGGCTGATGCGCCTAAAGGCGTGAAAAGTGATCCTCACTTTACTATGTGTTCCCGTGCAAAGACAGTTTAGTTATACTGTTCTCAAGTGTTCTCACTCTGTGTGGCTGAGAACAAAATAGTTTCAGTAGTTTCCTTTTTTAAAAATACGGTTATTCAACAAACGTCAAGTCGTCCCATCCTTTGCATTTGCATTTGGCTTACACTATGTCTCCCTATCCTTTTAACCCCACTCTCTAGCCCCTGTCTCCATGTATTATTATAATTTATTTGTGTCTGCTTTTATTGATTTGCCTTTGTGTGTTCCCGTTTATCATGGTATAGGACGTCGCAGGTCCACCCAGCCTAAAATGGTTATCAGGATGTATGTCCTGGGGAAGTAAAGACGGGTGGCGTAATGCTGACCACATTACTTACCTTGTGCCGATTCGTCTGTAAAAATAAGGGTGCTTTTCCGATGTGACCGATGTCCCTAGAGGCGTGAAAAGGGGTCTTTACTTTTGTATGGGTTCCCGTGCTAAGACAGTTTAGTTATATTGTTCTCCCGTTTTCTCACTTTGTGTGGCCTGAGAACAAAATAGTTTCAGTATCTATTCCTGGATGACAGTAGGTGCATCGACGATCCGGACTCCTTTCTGCCCTTTCCGCACCTCGCCATCATGATTTTTTGTTTTTTTAAAGAAAAACGCCCCCTACTACCATACTGGTTGGCTAGGTATTATACTTTCTTTTTTTTTTTTTTTTGGCGTTTCTAGAGTTTGTTGGAAGGCAGGCCAAACAATTTTTTGAGGTCTCAGAGATGTGGATTACAGAAGAATGCTTAGAATACCTTGGACTGCCAAAAAGACTAACAAGGAGGTTTTGATAGAGGCGGGAGCCCGAAGACAACTTATCACAGACATCAGAAGGAGACAGTCATTATTTTTCGGCCATGTTATGAGAAGCGGGAAAATAGAACAGGTTGTGACCACTGGAAAGATTTGTGGCGGTAAGGATAGAGGAAGACAACGAGAGAAGATGCTTGACAGTCTTGTTGCATGGCATGGAGGTGTGTCGGCACACGAACTGATACATGCTGCAGGAGATCGCAGATTATGGAGAGGCATGATCGCCCACTCCAGTCGGCAAGGCACATCCTGATGATGATGATGATGATGATGATGACTGTTTGTTGGTTTTTGCAACTTTTTTTTGCTAACGCGATTAGGTCAGCCCCTATACTAACCCAACCCTTAGTCGCCTCTTACGACATGCCTATAAGTGTGCGGTGTTAGTATTCTTTTCTTTCCATGAGAGCTCAAGTAACACACGGGCTATTTTAATCTTCCCTAACCTCTCATGCTTTGCGGCAAGAATGGGGAACCATTGTGTATATGAGAAGGCTATTTGGATAGTTATACGTGTACTTTTCATGAGCTATTAACATCAACAAAGTAACAATTAATGTGCACTGGGAGACACGTAAGAGCAGTGGCTATATACTTGCTTGCCAGCCCGAAGGTCTTGAGTCTGAACCCCCTTCTTCTTCTTCTTCTTCTTCTTCTTCTTCTTCTTCTTCTTCTTCTTCTTCTTCTTCTTCTTCTTCTTCTTCTTCTTCTTCTTCTTCTTCTTCTTCTTCTCCTTCTTCTTATTCTTTTTCTTTTTCTTCTGCTGCTTATTATTAGTATTATTATTATTATTGTTGTTATTATTTAACTATCTGTTTAATATACACAGGAGAGCCCAGTACCATACCAGAGCACTATGAAAAATATAAGCTCTTCATTTATAGAGGTCTCTTTGAAACCTCATGTTTTACTCATGCCTTCTCTTGAGGGCTTACGTAGCTTCTTTGATGGTGACGCACACATGGGAACTAGTGCACTCAAATGACTACATAACAATGCGACTTCAGAAGATAGCAACAGGCGGTATGCTCTCTGATTAGGTTAGGTAGAAAGCATTTACAAATCGAACATAACGTCCCTCAACTGGATCTACACACCGGGTCATGCGGGCGTAAAGGAAAATGGGCAAGCGGACCAATTGACAAGCACTGCATTAAGGATTGCGGGAAAAAGCATGGACAGAGCAGATCAACGCTGTACGTACTGGTCTAAAGGCTAATAGAAATCCCGGACAATAACACGATTGACATGGGAGTAAAGCATGGGGAAGCACAGCTATGCCGTCTTCGAGGCCGAGATAGTAGACAATATAACGAGCTTCTCACGGTAACAATTAGTAGAAGTACTTTAGAGTGGCTTCTGCATCGGAGGACTGAGCACCAATGGGAATGCCCAATGTGCAGTGACGTCGATTGTGATAATATAGCATAACATAACATAACATAACAATGCAACTGCAATGTCTTAGTAAACTTAGAGGGAATGGTAACATGTGCAACAAATGTATGCAGGATTTAGATGTGTCAGATGAAAGGCCCAAATATCGCTACCAAGTTGCAATCGGGCACAACGCATTTACCTCTTTGGATGAACGCAAAAGAAGAAGAAGAAGAAATGATAGGTTATCAGTTGTGCCTCCATGAACCGACACCCCAAAAGCAAATCTCCAGAGGTCGCTAGAAGTTTTTCCTCGATACCGCTTCCTACTGCGTTACCTCGCAGGTTTTGCTGGAAGAGACAAGTCAGCAGTATGTGCTCATGTGTTTGGTGTTTGATTTGATTTTGGTTGTTGAAAATTTACCTTAGCTCTCATGTCGCTTAAGCCATAAAAAATATGTACAATGGGAAGTAAAGGCGACCTGTATAATGTGGACCACACAACCCATCGAGTGCCGATTAGTCTATAAAGTATGTCTGGCATATGCGATGACGTATCTCTTACCAAACATAAAAAAACATAGTACTTAAATGTAATGATGAGCTAGTGGTGCTATATGTGAATCCTGTGAATTGTGGAATGTGAATGAAATCATTATTAAGAACTTGGAATCCTTGGAGATGTGGTTTCTGAGACACTTGCTGCGAATACCGAGGACAGCCAGAGTAACGAGCTGAATGGAAATGGCTGATGCAATTTGAAAACTATACAACCAAAAGAAATAGACAGAAGGTGGAGATATAATGGACACACTCTGGCACGAAATGAGCCGAGAATTACAAAACAAGCACTAAGCACTAACATGGGAAACAAACGGTCTGAGAAAGAGAAAAAAAAAGGCGTTCAAGGAAATTTTAAGAAAAGATATAAAATTGAACGAAAAGTATATCAGCAGAAAAAAGGGACAGGTTAAAAAGACCACTTTTAAGAGGTCAGTGTCTGTGAACGCGCTTCGTAATACCGGGGTGCCGGTTTCGATCCCAGCTGTGGGCCTTGTGCCTTACAATAGTTTCGACAGTGGTATCGAGAAAGCAATGGCAAACTAGGAGGCGTAAATTTGCATAGAAACACCACAATAGCAAAAAAATGCTTGGGTTGGTTCTACAATGCCCTGTAAATGATACGCAACAACTAACTAACTATTAAAAGAGGGAAAAAATAATGGGCTGAACTCTATGAAATCTAGAAAGCTGCATGAAATAAAGCGGACTGGAGGAATCCACTGCGAGCTCTATGTGACGACTAACGAAAAACAAAGGACGATGATGATAATATACATGATAATGCTAGCGATATATATATATATATATATATATATATATATATATATATGTGTGTGTGTCTGTATATATATATATCTATATATATATATATTATATATATATATATATATATATATATATATATATATATATATATATATATATACAGACACTTTTATAGAGAATGTCTATTTATGTTAAAACGGAACCCTTTAACCCCTTACCAAATGGGGTAAAAGTGGTGGGGGTGGGGTGGGAGGGCTCAATCCTGTATAAAGTTAAAGTGAAGGCAGAGCAATCTTAACAAACCAGTGTGCTAGGGCTCCTAAGATAACCACTTACAGGAATGACATCTTTTTGTATGACAAGTCACTTGACATGGGGGACCCTATACTCGCGTTGGGCCCCCCCCCCCCCCACCCCCGTGCAAGTGCCCAGCAGGCCCATCCCTTGATGCGGCTTTGATTGGCTAGCTCCAGGGTCTGAGCTCGTAGATTCCTGCGCCTAAGAAAATCAGTTTGCGCTTCCACTGTCATCAGGGCTACCCGTGCTGGGTCCCCCCCCCCCCCACCCCTCCCCCCCCCCCTTTTTTTGGTTTCAAATTTTGAAATCTTGTTTTTTAATATATCCTTTTATAAAAGTTGGTAAATGTTTCGTTTCGTAACTATACAATTTTCACTTTTCAACAAACTAGGTTTTTTTTTTTTTTTGCTTGTGTATTGCTTGGGTTTTTGTTTAGCTTAGCTGGGTTTTTCAAAAACATTCCGCTGGCAGCCCTGACTGTGATATTTCCTCAGTACAACACGCTACGATGTACGTTTTCTTCCTGATATCCGGAGCAGTGGACCTGTGCATGCACTTGGGCCTTCCTCTGCCTCCCGGAACCGATTATGTGGCCTTGGCGCTCGCGTTCCTGATGGAGGGCTTCTTGTTCACCAACCATTTACACGACAGAGAAATCCTCGACGTTCACATCCACATGCTGCTCACCTATGTCGTCTTTCTAACTGTGGTAGTGATACTTTTGGAAGCCAGGTAACAAGGTTTTACACCTTCTTCTTCCTCTTTACCCGCTTTACACAATCAGGATGTAAACGTCAACTAATTAGAGATATTGCCTTCAAAGTCAGAGTGCGAGGAACAACAGTCTGCACAACAAATAAGCCCAAAATGTAAAACGGATCTGCACGCAAAACTCAAGTACTGGAATAAGACTTACGTCCGACCAGAAGTGAACGGGTAACTAGCAGTTTTAGCTTGAACTTACAGCTGGTGAAGAAATACCTTGGATTATTTTCTGTTTCCGAAACGAATGTTCAATTGATAGGGCGCCTCTCTGACTGTGCTAATTTGATCTAGGAAGCTGTACCAACTTAATCTCAAGCACATAACACACGAAGACTGTCAGAGACCTTTCTAGTATTTTTTAGATCCTGCCACTCACTGTATCCAAACTAAAACAATTAAAAAGTAAAAAATTAAAGATCCCTATTCACGCTTTTAGGCGCATCGGGCATATGGGAAGAGCACTTGTATTTTTACAGACTGATCGGCACTAAGTGAGTAATGTGGTAAGCATTAAGCCGACCGTCTTTACTTCCCCAAGACACACATCCTGGTACCCATTTTAGGCTGGTTCGACTTCCGACTCCCCATACCATAATAAAAATCCACGCAGCCAGCAGTTGGTTTAGATCGTGGTACGTTGGAATTACGAGTCGGACGCAGAACGCCTAAGTCATGGACGCTGCCAAACAAAACAATTTTACATAGTAAAACTTCGTAAAACCTCCCTACAGGGACCAACCTTTTGTTCATGTTAACCGCTTGTTCGTCTCAAGCGAGTTCATATTTCTGATATTACACTGTACTCTAAACAAAACGCATCTAAGATTCCAGCCTTTTGTTAATATTTATTTAAAAATCAGTTTTATCATTTAATATTCGGGCGTAGAGTATGTGCTTAAGTGTGATATTCTCCATTCTTTGTGTCACGTAGGTTACACCCAGGAGCATTGTCACCAAAACATCTTTAGGAACATTCGCCTCCTTAATAATAATCTACAGGGCAGGGCTCAAGAAACAATTGTCATGTTTAAGTGTGCAGTAATAATTATTATTACATGGTATATGGCGCATAAAGATAATAATTTAGGTGAAATAATACGAAGTGCATAAGTTTTTTTTTTTTTTTTAAATTTGAAATAAAGACGACTATATGTGGTAACCTTGGCTCTGACGTCAAGCCAGCCTTAAATGGGTACTTGGCAGAATCAGTGTTGCCACTTTTCTTTGACAAAAAACATCCAAAACGGAGTCAAAAAAATCTAAAAACATCTAAATTTGCGAAGAAAACATTTAGAAAAAACATCCAAATGGAAAGAGTCACAAATTACATAGCAATTGATATGACTTACCCTATAGTATCGTGTCCTCATCTTTACTGAAGTCTGCCTTACAAGATCCACAGGATAAATTTAGCTTGGATGATGAAGTTGAAGCTTCAGATCCAAAATGACTCTGGTATGCTTTAGCTGTTCCAATTTCTTGTAATACCCAATCAGGGAGCTGGTAAGTTGAACAGCCTTTTCCTACTCTTATCAGGCCGAATTTTATTGTCAAGATAGCATTTAAAAGGTCAAATTTCATCCAAATGAAAGACATATAGAAAAACATCTACCATCTAAACGTCAAAAACGCCATCCAAATGCATGGAAAACCCTCTAAATCTGGATGTAAAACATCCAAAGTGGCAACACTGGGCAGAATCCTGGGAAGTAAAGACGATTGGCGTGATGTTGACAACATCACGCGCTGAGTGCCGATTGGTTTATAAAATTTAGGCCTTTCCCAATATGCCCCATACACCCGTAGGCGTTAAAAAAGGTCCTTTATACACGGTTAGGGGAACCTCTTAGCTCTCTTGTAATTTCTTGGTGGGCCCAGTTTCTCTAGATATGAAATTTGAGTGTGGGTCGGTGGGTTAGGGAGTGTCCAAAGGTGCATGACGCCCCAGCTTCCAGCGCCTATGAATAACTTTTCCTCAACTATTCCCTCCCCCCCCCCCCTATTTTTTTTTTTAATTATAAACCACCTGATGTATTTCGTATTCATTAATTTTTCTTTCCTCACAATACGTCAAATTCAACATGATACTTGCAGATACCAGAGGTCGGTCCTGATGACCCTTTCTCGCGTCTTCCTGTTCATGTTACAAGGGAGTTGGCTTTGCGCAGTGGGCATCATCTTATATATTCCGAGGCAGAGCAGCAATGCTTGGGACATGAATAGCCACTCTGACGTAGTACTGGCCAGCGTTTGCTTCACGTATGTACATATGTGTATGTGTGTTTCATGGTTCTTAAAGGAAGCAAGGAATGGCAACACTGACATACTATGCATGCCATAATAAGCAATATATAGAAGTCTCCAGATACCCATGCCATCTTTGAAGAAATTTTCTCTAAAAAATCGATCAGGAAAAACTATTATACTAAGGGGATAATAAACAATGTTAGTTAGATTATCGTAGTACAATTTACCTCCTAATTATAACATAAAAAGGTGTAAACAAATCAATATTTAAAACAGTAATACAAATTTCAATAATTTCCTAAAAATAATTACACCAAAAAACAAAAACAAAACCTCCGAGAACTCGACAAACACTTTTTTTCCCAATTAGAACTCTAATAAAAGCTGAACAGGACATTTCTGTGAAAATGACTACTAATATACCTGACAGGCGACAAGGAATGGTTGACTTGAGATTTGCTACCACGTCAAGTATTGTGAAATAAATCAACTTGCTTGCAATTTGTCTTCTCCAGTATTGGGGTCAACGCATGTGAACCACAAACGAAACATGCTAGTGTGTGGCTGTGTGGTATTTCTTGGCTATAGCTGGGCAGTACACATCATGTGTTCTTCTCATTGGATCCTTCCGCTAGAAAATACACACCAGGAGGCTGCTAGTTTTGATGAAAGCTTTCGAGCAGTCCATATCTTCCCCCGTGTACCATACAGTTTATGTCTTCATTGAGGGTGGAACAGGCCAGATTGCTTATTTGTTAGCAGCACACAGTTTGCAGTAATAGAGTACACGCTCAGGTGCCAGGCTGTATGGACACATAGTGTTTCCCACATAAAAGGGGTGCATTTAGGGTGTCATTTATTTCACCCTTCACCACCCAACCCCACCCAGCTCCCACTTCATTCACACAAACTTCGGCATCGTTTTTCGTTTACATACTATCAACAATACGTTGTGGAACTATTTACTTTAATTTCAAACTTTACTGAAATATGAAAAATGTAACTGAATCATCATCATCAAGTGCCTTGCCGACTGGCTTAGGCGATCATGACTCTTCACAATCTGCGATCTTCAACAGCATGTATCAGTTAGTCTACTGACACTCCTCCGTGACATGACAAGAGGCTGTCAAGAATATTCTGGCATTGTCTTCTTCGATCTCTTTTTTTTTTCAAATGTTTCCAGTGGTCACATGTTCCAGTTTACTTTTTCTCATTATATGACCCCCAAAAATGATGACTGTCTCTTTCTGATGTCTGTGATGTTGTCCTCACCTCTTTCAAAATATCTGGATTACTCTTTTTGGCTGTCCAGAGGATTCTTTTAATTCCATTTGTAAAACTACATTACCGAGTCCTCAAGAAATTGTTTGGCTATTTTATTAACTGTCTGGGATTCGCAGCCATATATTCAAACTGTCTCTGCATAGCATGCGTGAATTCTTTCTTTAACCCCCAGTCATCATCATCATCATCATTGTTTTATTGTACTATTATCTGACACATAGTGCACGCAGTCTTTTGCTCCATTCCCTTCTATCGTGTACAATCAATTAAATTTCATGGATGGAATCCAGTCCAGCACTTTTTGCCTCTCTCATCAAAGTTCGTTTTAGGGTTTCTTTGGGCAGCACCGTTTCCTTAATCCCTTTATTTCCTATTATAGTGTCTGTTGCGTGATATTCTCTGCTCGCCTCTTCTAATGATGTGTCCAATATAGCGCCATCTCTGTCTTATAATTGTTGATACTAGTGGTTGTCCAGACATGTCTCTTTTTTTGTTCACCCCTCTTGAGTTTATCCCATTTTATATTCATCATTCTCTTCAGACATTTGTTTACTAATACATTCAACTTGCCATGTCTTTAGTAGTTCTGCGACATTTACTGGTGTATGCCAACATTGAAATAACATTAGAATTGAAAAAACATAACCTAGTTTTAAAATTAGACAATTTAGAGTTCTATAGTTTGTTCAGGCTTTTAAACACTGCTGATGCCTTGCCAATGTGTGTCATAACTTCTTTCGCCGTATATCTTTCACTATCAAAATTATTATTTGAATAAGTAAATTATTATGTTAATATAACCCCTTTTGTCTCTAGTCTTTCATTTGTTTGATCTGATTTTTGTATCTTCAATATGTTTGTCGTTTCACAACTTATTTGTAGTCCAACCTTTGATACTTTTTTGTTGTTGCTAAATCATCGGTTTTTCTTTCCCTGTCATTGTTGTTTTTTACTTAGCAAAGTCCAGACCTTCCAACGGTGTGTTCTCCACGCAGAAAATGCCAGTGTTTTTAACATATTTTTTTTTTACAAAGTCAATGGTACGCCAAATAACGAGAGATAAAATGCATCGATGATATTAAAATTACTTGTGCATTGTTTGGGGTTTAGGCCCTTTGACCCTCATCCCACTCAAATAATTGAAAGGGGCAGAGGGGCTGATGTAGTGTCCCTACAAGCCCCATCTAGTTACGCGTGAGGGAGCTAGGAAACTCCCTAACCAGAGACAGTTCTCTTTTTAAATATGTTTATACATTTAATATCTGTAACATTTATCACATTGTTATTATTATTATTACCATCATCACACACTTAAATCGCAAACATCCCCCACCCCCAACCCCGTTACAGAATATGTGTAAGGTGCTGTCCCCCTCCTCTTCCAATGTTCCCTATGTGTCGGCGCCCATGCCTAGAAGAAAAGATCTGGGCTGCTACCTAAAGATATACCATGCCATCCTGAAATTAAGCAATCTCCGTCTGGACAGCAGACCAACAAGATAGATCCCATATATCCCGTTTAACTTCCAAAGGAGTTATACTTAGAGCACCCATCAGTAAAGCATTACCTACAGTCCTAGGCCGACAAGGACGTATCTAACAACCATAATCTATGGCTACATGTGTAAATGCAGCGGCGCCGGAATCATTTAGACAAAGATTTCTATAAACATGGGGGAGAGGGGGGAGGAGAAGCGGTTGCTGATCCTCAAGAAAATGTGTAAGGATAATTATCCACCCACCCACCCCCCCCCCCCCCCCCCCCCCCCCCCCCCCCCCCCACCTCCACCATATCCAATACAGGGCCAATCACGTGAAAATGGTCTTTGAATTCAATGGAACAAACACGGGAAATGTATAATTTTACAGTAAATCCTTAGTACCACGAACTCGTCGGCTTCTGTGACGCCTCGTAATGCCGAGCTCGATCCATCTGTGAACAGTTTGTCTTGCGTTGGTTTCGACAGTGGTAACGAGAGCTGACCATTGAGAGAGCAATGGCAAACTTTTTTTTTGCCTTTCTAAATCCCAGTAGAGCATAGGCCCTCAACCAACCCTCGCCAAGTCGTTCTATTCTTCGTTATCGCTTGCAGCTCTCCCCATCTTTTTAACTTCTCCCTAGCTCCTTTCTCCGTGTGTGTTTTGCCTTTATTTCTATGCACATGAGGGTTCCAGTGCAAGGCATTCTGGTTATATTGTACTCAGGTTTTCTCAGCGTGTCTTATCTAATGCCAGCGTCTTTTCTTCGTCTCTTGGTCCACAGAAACTTGTTTAGTTCTCTCCCACAGCTCTACATTAGTGATTCTATCATACTATTTAATTCCCTGTATTTCCCACAGGCACCAGTTAATGAATGTCTGTAGTTTATTAGTAATTGTCTTAGTTGCTCTCCATGTTTCAGCTCCATACAACAGTACTGATTTCACATTAGAATTATAAAAACAAACAACACATTTTTGTTTAGTATTAGTTTTAGTTCCTTCAGACTTCCACAGATTCCTTAGTTCTATGAAAGGTCTTCTTACCTTTTGTAGTCGTATTTTAATATCTCTGTCAGTTCCCCCCCCCCCTTCCCCCCTTATCTTTATCAACATTACTGCCTAAATAGATGTACGACTCCACGTCTTGGAGTGGGGTGCCATTAAGAGAAACCACATTACTATTTGCCTGATTTTTTCTTATTATCTTTGTCTTTCCCTTATGGATTTTTATACCCAGCTGATGTGATTTCGCATTAAGTATATTTAATGTATTTTGCATCTGATTCCGTGAGTGGGACAGAAGAGAAATATCTTCAGCGTCAGGTTGTTTTGTAGGGGTCTACTGAATTCCATTCTTGGAGGTAGCAGCTGTTGTCTTCATAATCCAATCTATTGCCGGTAAAATAGGAGAGGCGAGAAAAGACATTGCTGTCGCACACCTGTTTTTATTTCACATCTATATGTTAGCTTTCCCTAGTGAAGAACTCGAACATGTAATATTTGTATATGTTGCCTTTACTGGGCTAATAATTTTATGTGGGATTCCATAGTACCCCATTAATTTCCAGAGGGATTCCATTGTCAATTCTTTCAAAAGCTTTTTCATAGCCTATGAATCCAATGTAAAGTTGTGAATCAATTCAATGATTTGCTCTAAAAGAATACGCAATGTGGCTATTTGGCCAGTACAGTTTGACCAAAACCCTGCCCGTTAATCTCTTAGCGCTTTATCGATAGTATCCTTTAGTTTTTCCAAAAAATCCTACTGAAAATATGTCCATGAACTGACAGTAACATAATTCCTCTATAGTTCTCACACTCCTGTAGATTATCTTATTGGGAGCAGTTTCACAAGATATTCTACTGAACGTAAAATTTGCCAAGAAAAGCCACAACACACACAAATGTCTGTGGCTGGTTCTACAATGTCTTGTAAAAGGATACGCAACTAACTTCTAAACCACGAACTCGCTTAAGACGAACATTCCAACAGGGATATGTTATCAATATCACACGTACGCCCCCAATCATAAGATTTTTTTTAAATGCGAACTCTTTAAATTTTAGTTTCTTGGAATTAGTGTTAACATGGTTTTACTGAATATTATTTTTTATTCATTTCAGCTGGCACTGTGCGATCATTTTTATCTTTCTTGTCATCTTGGTGGCCGTCATGTCCCTCAGATACAGAACACAGAACAGCGGCTGTTTCAAGGATGAATCTGAGCTACCCTTGACAGAACA